TCTGCCAGGGGCTTAGAGTGAAATTTACAAATTGACCCATCTGCCTGCCACAGCACCCACGAGCCAATCAGTGTTGGGATCACATTTTGAATGCCTCCAAAATGGACGCTCGTGTGTCTGTGTGATCTGGCGAATGTGCTTGCGTGTGCGTATGAAAGTGTGCCTGTTTTTGCCTGCATGCCCGTTCGGCGTGGACACCAGCATCAGGTTACCTGGGCGACCTGCCGGAAGCTGCGTTGTTTTATTCAGACAAGCCGAATTTCTCCTGCCACATTGTGATCAGGCTTTCTGTGTGTCTGTCTCTCGGTCTCTTTGATTGCGGCCTGCCGGGCTCAGCTGCTGTGGGTGTGATCCCGGCCGAGGGTTGTGCGTGCCTGCGCTCGGGATGACTTCGGTGTACGCGTGTCCCTCGGCTGCACTGCAGCCGGACCGGGCGGCCAGCGTCCGCCGTCAGCCGAGTCTCCGCCCCCGCGGACGCGACGCCCGGCCCGGCTCGGGCGGCCCGACCGACGAGCGGCAGTCGGTGCCTCGCCGCGTGTGCACACACGCCGGTGCAGACTGGGAAGAGGTGCGCATCAGCCTGGCCTGCCTGGGCTACACGACCACGCCCGAGGGCGGCGCAAGGCCACACTCGGCGGGCACGCGTGACCGACGCCCGGCTGCACTCAGGCCCGCCTCGCTCACCGCCTGCCTCGGCCTCCAGCCAATCCGCTGCCAGTCGATACGCCTCAGTCTGGCCGACTTGGCGCCCATCTATCGTCGCCGGACCGCCCCGATTGGCCGATCGGCCTGGGCACGCAAAGACTGCCAGATCAAAGTGCCCCAGCCCGGAGCACAGACTGCCCTGGGCAGCAGCCGAGACAGCCTCGAACGAGGGCACAGGCACCAACAGTGCAGTGATTCCGGGGCAAGTGGATATCGAGAAGATCCAGCCGAGTCCGCTCACACCGTCTCGAGTACAAAACCGCGCCTCCGATTGTGGACTAGAACTAACAAGGGTCGATCTCATTGGAACAAGTTTCTTCTGCTTAGAATGGTAACTACCCCATTTTGTTGCATAAAATTGTCTTGATTGTTATGATTTTGTTCATGCTAAATATTCATTATTGCATTAACTCGCTGATGCTGTTAAATGAAAGACATAATTCCAGTCTCTCTCCTCTCTCTCTCTCTCTCGCTCTTCTCACAACCTCCTAGAAACATACCACATTATCGCCATAACTACTGGCTGAATAAGGACTGTGTAGGCATTCAGTGTGTATTTACGCAAAACGGCCACAGCAGAAGACACTTATCACAACAGGCCACAATCGCATTTGGTTCTTGATGCGGTTGATTTAGAATCCTGTTAAGCAACGAACTTCAAGTCGCCATGACGACGAGATTCGTAGGCTGGATTCACCAGTAGGCG